TTATGAATTACTGAGTGGGTGAGCCGAGCCGATCAACCACCTGTGGAACGCCAGACGATGTTGACCGCTCGTGCTGGCGTTATTCGTATAATAGTGATCTTAATAACAACTATTATATACAAGTTATAAAGAGGCAGGAACTCAATCATTTGGTGATGAATTACTTAATGGGCGAGACGTAGCCCACCTGCACCCCTCTCTTCACCCCTCCCCTACCTCCTCCCTTTCCTCCCACTCCACCTACCTCCACCCCTTCCACCCCCCTACCTCCACCCCTTCCTTCTTCCCACCTCCACTCCACCCTCCTTTCCTCCCACCTCCACTCCACCTTCCTTTCCTCCCTCCATTTCTCCCACCTCCATCCTTCCCTCCATTCCTCCCACCTCCCTCCACCACCACTGACACACCTCATCACTACTCGGTTCACCTGGCTATAAAATTCATCACCTTGAGGCAGCTCAGGCGACTGGCCAATCACCAGACTCATAACCCAGTCATGGAAACTACAGCTGCGTGGTGATAGTGGGAGTAATAATCCATGATGCTAGTGGTGGTGGTGATTATGGTTGTGATAATCTATAAAATGGTGGTAGTGATAATTGTAATTGTGGTAGGGGAATATTTTAACGTACGAGCCTTAAAGAATCTGCCAGTACACAGTGAAGCATCTCTCAACCGCTTCACTGGCAGTACACTACCCACTACCCCCTCGGGTCCCCCTTGTGGGATAATCCGGGATAATGAGTGGGAGTGAGTGTGGGTGATTCACGCCCGCTTGTCGTAGCCAGGGGCCGCCCATACTGTGATGCTCATTTGTTCACACGGCCCAGTGGACCAGGTGACCCACCCGTATTAACGACTTATATCCTCTTAACAAGGATAAAATACATATAGTACTTACACCTTTTAATAACTACAGAAACATTCAAAGGTAAAACTCGAATCAGTACGTATAAAAACGTTGTGTAATAATCATATACGGTACACATGCCTTGATACATCACAGGATAATCAAGTGCACGTCTGAACACACTTGAGCTAAACCTACTTAACTGACTCGTCACTATCCTAACAACCTAAACAACATAGTTTAACTTTAGCAGAAACAATAATATGAACGGTGGACACTTTCCCCTTTGGGTTATCAATGTAGAGTCGTGTACACAGTCACTTACACCAAGTACCTTTTAAATATATTTTTAGGCTTATTCCCTTCCTCATAACATTACCAAAATAATGTCCGTCTCTAACAGCGATACAGTATTGAAAGTTTCTGAAGCTCTTGTAGTTGTGTTGAGAAACCTAATAAAAAATTATGTTCAGGTACTTTATACAAATATAGAAGTACCATACAGGTAGTCTTAGATATATGAAAGACAGGTACAATATATTAATTACCGTTAACAACATACTGTGACCACCTAGATATTATTGTACCATTTTTTGGTAGCTTAGTCTCTATTTGTACTTACATAACTAAATTTAAAGCTTTCGGTTCTGATTTAAGAACTAAGTTGAACCTAAGAGAGGTCTGGGCCTCATCACCACCGCCTCCCAGGGAAACACATCAATAATTAAGTAGGTGGTGAAACATGACATTTGATGTACAGACACTGTAATTATTCTTAAAAATCTTCGTCTCCCCTAATGTCACGGTGCATAATTGTGAGAGAAACTATACACCAGGATCGACACTCACACACACTGACCTTTTAAAACTTCACCATTATGTTGACGCTGAGAACCTAGGGCTTGATACTCATAATTATTTAAGACGTCCTATCTCCCAGTGTGGGTCATAACTTGAGCCACGACTTCTTTTTTTGCTGTGACCAATACTCAAAACAATATTGGCGCATGTGCATTATGCAGAAGACCCGACAGCAGCACCCTTATCCACTACCTCCTAAGTCTTAGGACCTAAGATGTTCCCACACACAACGCTTCCGTGACGCCTGCTGGACCACCACTCCACGACCCCCTGACGGAGACATGGTGATCTTCCCCATACAGTACTGGCCAGATATTATGTAAATAACATTGATTATGTGTTAAAGGAATATCCTTCCTTCCTTAGGAATTAGTAAGCCCCTTTATAATATTTATACTGTATATACTTGTCACACTTGCCAGATGCTTCTGGTGTCATTGTACAGGAGTACCTAGTGACAACACTAGGCTCCCGCTTCCTCTATCAAGAAATAAACAATTGAAATTGAAAATTGAACAATATTGGCCCATAGGCACGGCTATGTTTGATGACATATGGTCACACAAACTTATGACACTCAGGAGGTGTTATAAGCGAAATCATAAGCTTGAAGCCCCATCCTCCTCTGCGTTAAAGTCATTTAAAAATACATTGAAAGTATAAACTAAAATATAAATAAAATCTATCAAATGATAAATTATTGTATTCTAGCATACAAGCCCACACAGTACAAATAACGTTTCTCCCCATATAACAGTACACATCGTCATGCCTCAGGTATTGGCGAAAGTTAACAAGCAATGTTGTATGTCCACATAATACAGCGGACAATGACGTGTTAATGATGTTTCCCAACTTAAGCAAACACCAGAAATTATAAAGTATTATAAAGTATCTGCAATTGTGCCAAGCGCGGACCCCCCACCCCCCTTCTACCGACGTCGCCTACATACTGATGTTCTCTATTATTTTCATGGTATTGTTATTTAAAATAATTGTGTTTGACAACTTCCTGGGAATGTATTTGTTATTTGATGGATCAACGCTTATTACTCACCAACTAAGGTTTTCCAAAAGGCAAAGTTGACAAGTTAAAATAATGAGTGAATAATCTAGGCCTCTAGGGGTTGAAATACGTGGATGTAGCAAGGAGCACTCATGCAAGAATCACTGTTATCGTGACAGACAAATTTAAGTTATGAAAGGGATAAGAAGACATTAAGTAAACCGAGTCATTTAACAACATTTATATTACAGTACTAAGTATTGATTATTATAGTTGGTTAATTAGGTACATTACACAAAAGTAAAACACAAATATGCAATTATCAATACACCAGAATATTACCAGATTTTTAGTTTAAACATTAAATACACATACTAAATACAACACACAAACCTGATAGAAATGGCAGCTCGGGTAGCATGTCTAGGTTGCGATGGCCAACCACAAGGAACCAGGGATTACCGTTGTAGTCCACTACCATCAAGCCATCACAACACCGCCGGCAGTAGTTCGTAATACAATGCTTCGTCCACACCCTGGGAGAAGAGGAACCAGTAGGCCGCAGAGTACAGCTTACCACGCAGATACACTTGCCTCGAATCCCTCGGTCTCATAGTCGGATGAGAAACTGGTTCTGATCGGTGCTCACTGGGGTCGAGTAGCTTCGTGAAGCAGTTTCTTCTCCTGGTGTCAAGCTGGAGCAAGTGGTTGTTATGAAACTTATGATGGTAGAGTGAGGAGGGGAGAGAGTCGTCACATTACTGAAACCCATTAAATTTAATTTCCGAGAGAAAGGTATTTTTCGGTCCAAAAATGACTAAGGCTTGGCATTTTGGCCATAATCTTGATCTGTGAAATTTTACTCAAAATCTCAGTATAGGTACTCCAGAGTATGCCGATTCCGAATCTGTGGTTAAAAAATTTAATTGCAGGGTAATTAGTGGTCGTAATGATTTTGGATGATTTTAATGACATTTGTCAATGCTAATTCCTCGCCCCCTATCACCCTGTGGTTTTTCAAGGTCACTTTTTAATGTTTGTGTGTTATTCTGTGTGTATTTAAACAGTTGACACATTAAATTGCAATTCTGAGAGTAAAATTTTTGGGGACATTATCTTCTCTCACCGATTTTGTTCAGAATAACATTATAGGTACTCCTGAACGAGATGATGAAGGATCTGTTGTCAGAAATTCGATATCTGGATAATTACTTGTCCAAATGACTCCTGGACATTTCTAATTACTTTTGCAACACTTATTACTCGCCACCTATGGTTTTTCAATATCACTTTTTGGTGCTTTTGTAATAGTCTGGGTGTATTTAAGTAGTTACACACATTTACAGGGGGTAATTCCAATTCCGAGAGAAAAGTAGTTTTTGGTCCATAATCTTGATCTCTGGAATTTTGTTCATAATCTCAGTATACTGTAGGTACTCCTGAGCATGCTGATTCTTAATCTTTGATGTTTGGAAGATGCATTATTATGAGATTGTATTTTATTCCTTGTGTTCTTTCATCAGTTCATGTAAGACAATGATGAACATTATTTTATGAAATATTTTGTTTTAGATACCGGGTATCTTGTCAAGTGATACCTTGTCAGACATAACCAGTTTATACGGTTTCATCTTTATGTTGGCTAATATACTAAGTCTCCAGATATTATTATAACTTGGGTCTTGCCAATGTTCTAAAATTATCAGAGTGCAGGTACAGTACAGTATAAGATATACATCATTGCTCTATTTGTTGTTCAATACACTACCATTATGTATTTGCTAGTTTTCTAATACAGTACTCAAGTTTATTATGTACTTTGGTGTATTCTCTCATTTGTAAGACATGATGTGTCTTGGGTAACAACTGCACATCTTTCTTTTTCTTCCCAAAATGTTTCATGTATTAAAGAATTTAAGTCAAAGACCTGTATCTATGTACAGTAATATCAAACACATGCAATGTCAAATCATGGGTAGAAAGGATTTGCTGTACATATCATTGTAATCTTCATAGCTTGTTGAAGACTTAAACAAAATATACTTCAATACATCAAATATCTTGATGTTTAAGACTATCACATCTTGTGAGCCTTCAACACCACAAGATATATTTTGATGTTGAAGACCTTATCACAAGATATTTCATTACATCAAATACCTTGTGTTTAAAAGACTCTCAAAGACAGATGTACAGCAACTCTTTTCTACTCATTCCTCGGCAACACTTCTGGTCTCACCAAGCACTTTATAAGCAATGTAAGTCAAAATAAAAGATCGTGTCTCCTCAAACTCTCTTTATTATTTACTAAGACAAAATACAGCCATTATTGGACTTAAACTTTTTTCGATTTTTCCAGGTTTTTTGAGGGGTCATTTCTGAAGAGAGGCTGCAGCTCACCTGGTAAGTTTGACCAGAAACATGGCAGAATTCACTACACGCTGTATGTTGCTTGTTTCTCCTTGTTGGTGAGATGCTTTTTGAATGTTTGCAAATCTAAGATAATGACAGTAGCTCTGAAGATGAGTGAAATAAGACTGTCTAATATACTCTTGGTAGTTGATTTTTCTGTTTAGCAGTGTTAGGCTAAGCATTTTATCTGAATACTTTGGCATTACATATTCATACAAAATGCTTGGCATTTCATCTGAATATGTACCATAATGTCAAAGTACTCTGTATTCAAATCAAGCACTTAGCATAACAACAGCAAAATCATCTAGAAAAAGTACGGTACAGTAGTATCTTAAAGTCAATTTCACTCATCTTTAAAACTACCATCATTATCTTAGATTTGCATAGACATTCAAAAAGCATCTCACCAACAAGGAGAAACAAACAACATTCAGCCTGTTGCCAATTCTGCCGTACTCACGTTGCTGCCATAACCTGAAATAGAAAATACAACATTTTGATTTCTATACAAAAAGATGACAGCAGCTTGAACATGGCAGAATTGGATGCTTTTTTATTGTCTGCTGCATTATCTAAGATAATGATGGTAGTTTTAAAGATGAGTGAAATAAGACTGTCTAAAATACTCTTGGTAGTTGATTTTGTTGTTTAGCAGTGTTGTTATGCTAAGTGTTTGATCTGAATACTTCGACATTACATATTCAGACAAAATCCTTGGCATTTCAAAGTATTCAAATCACACACTTAGCATAACAACACTGCTAAACAACAAAATCAACTACCAAGAGTATTTTAGACAGTCTTATTTCACTCATCTTCAAAACTACCATCATTATCTTAGATTTGCAGACATTAAAAAGGCAACTCAACAACAATGAAAAACAAACAACATTCAGCATGTAGCCAAAAGTTCCAAACCATCTGCCACATTAAGACACCTCCATAGTGAAGCAATTAAAATCTTTATACATATTTACTTTTAATTAGCAACAATGATAAACTTTAACAGTACTATGAGCTATTTCTTGGGCAACCTCATTACTACACGTTTATTCTAAGAATAAACCAATATATATAATCTTTAAACTTCAACTTCTCAGTTAAGACAACCACTAAGTCACAAACAAACCACCCCACTTAATTTCATTTTCAAAACTAATATTTTCAACTCCCATTTTACTCTAAAAACATGACTAGCCTTCAAGAATTTTACTTTACATTACTGTTTACAGCCAAGTGCCACAACTCTGATATTCAATATAAAAAAAATTGGTAAATTACCCAAGACTATCACCATTCCAGTAACTGTGACCACTGAAGACCTACAAACTGTATATTACATGATCCTTCTCAATGGGAAATCGATGTAGAAAAGGTTGAAAATAAATACAGGAAGTCCTCGCTTAATGTCGTGGTTGCGTTCATGTAAACCACAACGTTAACGGAATAAATTTTTCCCATAAGAAATAGATAAAATACGCTAGTTACGTTCCCCAGCCTCCACATAGCCAGCATCTTCTCCATCTTCTCGATCACAGAACTTCGAGCACGACTTGTCTTTGTTGCACTCATAGAAGTACCACTTCCAGCACTAGCCTTAATCGTGTCTGTGCTGGTCCAGATAGTACGCACTGTTGTGGGGGTTACGCCTAATGCTACACCAATGTCCACAGCACATTCACCTTTCTCAAAACGGTTTAAAACCTCCATTTTCGTAGCAAGGCTAGTGGTCTTGCGTTGCTTCTTCACAACACTAGCATCACTAACACTTGATGGGTGCTTGGTAGCCTTTTCGAATGGTTACAGTACAGTATTTATAGCAAGAACACTTAGGCATGCACGTATGCTGTGGAAGCTTAACAAAGACTAGGGAGACAATGCTTGGGGACGCTCCACGGAAAAGCATAGTGCACCAAGATGAGAGAGGGTGGCGCGTGCCATACAAAGTAGTCTGTGTTGGGTGACAACGTTATAATGAATCAGTCGGGTCGTAAAACAACGTTGTCGGTTTCATGGGTATCTAAATAGTAGCGACGTTATAATGAAACAACGTTGTCGGGGGCAACATTAAGCGAGGACTTACTGTATATAAAGTTATGTCAAGCAATTTGTATTTTGAACATTAAGGTGGTACAGTACATTATAAAGTGCAAAACATTACCCTTTGGTCTGTCGCTTTAGTGACTCCCATCCTAGTTAGTTACTTTATAAATGCAGAATAACTTTCATTAATGCATTTACTTACCGTAAAAGATCATTATCCTCTCGAATTTATAGATCATTGAAGTTACAGCATACAGTAAGATCTCATATTTCGAGCAATTTCATTTCGCTTTTTTAATTTCGCGAACACTACCTAATGTACCTAACCACGTCTTATATTTGGCATAAAATATCGTGAGTTTCGCGAGATCCAGCCCTCATACCAGTTAGTCATTTCTGCTACAACGCGTGTTTTGTCAACGCGAATTGGTTGTAACGCAATTCATGAATAGGGGAACGCTGTTTGTAAAACGCGAACTTTTGCATACGAATACTGGCTATAGCGCGATTCCATCCTCAATGTTTTGATTCCATCCTCAACATTTTAAGCGCGGCGCGGGGTTATGCAATGTTTACAGTTCACGTTCGACATCACATGTACAATTGATTCGTGTCTTTTGTTTGTGAAGTGTTTTTTGAGAGGTATTCTGTAAATTTCTTTCTTTTTTTGCAAATTTAGCTGTTACCCATAAATACTGTATGAATAGAATAAGTAAAAAGAATGTTTCGCAGTGAGGACTAATAAAGGGGTTTACACCAACGCTCTGTTTACATCGCATGATCAATTGAATCGTGCGGTTTCTGTCGATTGCTCCGTGATTTTGCTGTTTTCTCCAATTTTGTTGAATAGGGAAAGACAAGGTAAGAAGAGTGTTTCCAAGAAGCGTTCTGGTGATCGAATTGCCAGTGGTGAGCATAAAAGAGGTTTACAAAAAAGCAACTATCGCATAGTAGCCCACGCCATCCTAGCGACCGCCCGGGCTGCTATTGTGTGCTTTTTTGGGTGGTGCTACCACCTGTCGAGTCAAGATAATGGCCTCTACCTTTACTGGGGGTCCTACTGGTGCTGGTGGGGGTGGGACAGACCCACCTAAGTGGCCAAATAAGGAAAAGGAGAAGCAGGACTATCATATGGGAGTTAAGTTTGCCAAGTACTGTACTCGATGTAGGATAGCAGCGTTTGATTAAGTTACTTGAGGAAGGCCTAAAAACTAGTTACCGGAAAGCACAATCAGGTCAATAAAGGCAGAATTTGTATCATTTGGAGGTTATAAATGGGAAAATCAGAGGTTGATTTAGAGTGGCCAGTCTATATTGTTATTTTTACCATTAGTTTATGTATTTGCATTTGGCGAATTTGAATTTGGTGCAATTTTTCCAGTCTATATTATTCACGAAATACAAGATCTTACTGTATTTAAAAATTCCTCTTCAATGCTTTTGGGGCCTCAGATACCCAGAACCTAATCTCTGGTACGGTCTTGACATCTAACTTCACCACTGCAGTTTACACCTCAATGGCCCAGCCTGCAATAATTATTAGTTTTTAAAGTAAATTAAGATCACTTTCTTTTAGCAAAGTTATGTTATTCAACTAAAGACTTTACATTTAAAGTACTTTGATAGATAAACACCTTTTATGCAATGAGAGTTCTAGGGTTATTACGGGTGGGAAGATTTAAACAAACTACAGTACTAACCATTTGGCTAGTTATTCAAGCATGACAATTAATTTGAACAAATTTAGTCATGATATTTAACACCTTAGCTGCATCAAAACTATTCATCTGTACTTTAAATGCAGTCTTCAGAACATCATAGTTTTGCTAAAATAAACATCTCAAATTTCCAAATATTGACACCTTACCATAACTTGTGTCTCATCTCCACAAATTTGTTTCCCACTCAAGCTCAAAAATATCCCTTATTAGCCAACTGTCACAAATTATCATGACTAAACGAATATTTAACATTAAATTATCACCTTAATATTAACTACAGCCTTTAAGATTTAGTTTTCATTACTGTATACAGCCAAGGGCCACAAATTTGTACGCTTTGGTATTTAACAATTGCTGTACTCCAATAACTATTACCGGTACTATTACCTGTACTTATTTTTATACATATGTAGCCAGTAAAATGCTTTCCAAGCTTTCACGTAACTGAGGAATTGAAAGTGATGATTTGCTCCAACAAACTCCTTATTAGTTGCATAAAAACTATTTCCATCTATTATCTTTCAAAGCAAAGTCTCCACAAAATCTTTGCTAAAACTAAATTTTTTATTCTAATTAACAACAAGATTCACCACTTTACCATAACGTCAAGTCCCTCCTCTCTACATGCACGTCTCCCGCTGAAACTCAAAAAATTTTCTGCCGTCTTCTTGCAACTCCAACCAAGTTTAGACCATGAAGCTGGCAGCAACTTGAGCATGGCAGAAATGGCTACATTAAACCTTGCTTGTTTCTCCTTGTTGGTAAGTTACTTTCAAATGTGTAAATCCATGATGGTGGTTTTTGAAGAAGATTGAAAATGAATTTCAAGATACTATTGGTAGATGTATTACTTTTAGCAGTCTGCTATGCAATCTTTGATTTGATTATGTAAGGCCAGATGAAACACTTAGCATAACAGAAAGGTAAACAGCAATACAATTACCAAAAGTATCTTACCCAGTCAATTTTACTCATCTTCAAAAACACCATCATCTTTGATTTGCACATTCAAGAGCAACTTACCAACAAGGAGAAACTAAGCAAGGTTCAGTGTAGCAAATTCTGCCATGCTCAAGTTGCTGCCATAACCTGAAATAAACATACAATTAGATTTCTAAACACAAATATCAAATATTTATACCTGCCAAACTGCTTAAATCCAATGATTTTACTTTGAAAGATTCTTACATAATGAACCCCGTGTGTACAGGTCACCCAGCTCAAAATCATGCCATTACCAGATAAAATACTGTATTGTAAAAGAGGGTTATTTTTATTCAGCTCAGGAGGCAGACTATTAGAAGTTGGATGAAATTCTTTATTCGGTACAGTGACCCCTCCATTAACGAACTCAATCCGTTCCAGAAGGTCGTTCGTTAACCGAAACCATTGTTTCAATGGGTTTTTGGGTAATTGGTTCCAGCTCACCGAAAATTTCCTAAATTCAACAAAAATGGTAGAAAAGTTCACTTACTTTGAGGTGTGTATGTAGAAGGCTCCTAGATGATGATGATGATGATGATGGAAATTAGAATGGGGGTGGAGGAGAAGGAAGAAGAAAAGGCATTGGGGTGGAAGAGAAGTCACCCCATGGCACCATTTCATCCATAAAATTTTAGTTCTCTTGGTGTATTTCAAGATTATTTTCTTTATATCAACACGGCACTGCATTATATATTGTCAATATGTAAAATATATTTCAAAATGACCAATAATTTGCTTGGAAACACAGAAAAAAAGCATTTAGTTGAAGAGAGTCTCAAGCAAGATGTTACCTCCAGTGAAAACAGAGAGAGACTAACTCCTGTTTGCTGTGTTAAGAGGCTGGATGCCGCGCATTAAACTAGTCACTTTACCTTCAATTATGTTCAATAATTGTTAAAATGACTAAAAAATTGAATATTAAACTTTTAAAATTATTGAATAGTATAAACTTCTTGATATTTACTAAAATAGTAAGGAACTTAAGCCCTAGAACCGATTAATGTATTGGCGGACTGATACTAAAGCTGGTTTCCCGGTCAGTGCAAGCGAAAACATGTTGAGGTCGGTTCGTAAGAACTTCGTTAACCGAATTTTTTTTCGTTAACCATTGAAGATCCTTATGGAAGGCAGTTCATTAATCGAAATTACGTTAACCGAGGTGTTCGTTAAACGAGGGGTCACTGTATTTACTTATTAATTTACAGCAAGGATAGTTTACGATAACTAGCTAGAAGAGAACAAGGACCCATTTGAAGAAAGGTAAATTACACTGGGTAACAAACATCACTTACTTCCATGAGAAATGAATGCAACTTACATTACTCTCATCTGGCTCCCACAGCTTCAAACATAACAATTGACAGCTGATCACCCAGTTACACGAACCCCAAAAGTACTGTATACTGAACGATAAATTCTAATCATAAGTTGATCCTAATTATAACTTTTAATGCAAGAAGCAAAACACAACTTCTACACGTTATACAGTGTAGGAGTTCCAGTGAAATACTTAAACTTGACTGATCCAGATACCAGTTCAGGTGCACTGTCGCGACAATGCAGGAAGCAAAAATAATTTGGGCCTCACCTCACCTGTCTCCCTTACAGCCTGTGCTTAGAGTTTACATTCACCAAATCACTGTCCTTGGCCTTCAAATTAGTGTTGAACCACACAACAGATGGAACAATCCTTAAAAAAACTACAATGACATTGTAATACAAAATTGTTTTCATACCAACTCAATGATGCCACGAAGGAGATGTAGTGATCCTCCTCACTGTGCCACTTGTAGTAGGTTCTTTTGGATGTTAGACTTGTTATTCTTTTGATCACTCTCACCTTTACTTCATTAGTAACAGAGGGTAGGATTGATATAAAGGTACATCAGTTCAATGCATGTATTTACAAATTTACTTTTCCAACACCACGAGAACAAATTTAGTTAAGATTAAATCACTGCACAGGCACAAGGTGTGGTCCAAGTTATTGGTTCAGGTCCTGCTCTGGTGTTCCAGCTAAAACCCACGATAGGAGTAGGAGGCAAACCAATCGTATCACCGTCACAGGCACAAGGTATAGCACAGGATGCCAGTAGAGGAAGTAGTGAACACTGGAGGTGTATTGACATCCTCCACAGGAAAAAAGGGGGAGCAGACCTAACACAGCACTCACACAAGCACTAAATTTGTTCGTGTGGTGTTGGAAAAGTAAATTTGTAAATACATGCATTATATTGAGCTGATGAATATGAATCCTACCCTCTTTGTTGCTAATGAAGTAAAGGTGAGAATGAGCAGAAGAGTAGTGAGTCTATCAAACAGGGAGGTACTACCGCCTGGGAAGATATTGGAAGCATCATGTATTATCTAATGGTCGACCCTGCTGCCATATGGTATCACAAAAATTTTGAAAAAGTCCCAGGTTGCTCATCTGACTTCCTGCCTCATTTACACACAATTGCAGGGTTTCAATTACTTCTCTTACTATTGACAACACAACACACATACTGTGTATCGATTCTCACTCTTGAAATTTTTTATTCAGTTTTGTATTTATGGTTATTATTACCTGTATTATTATTATTTTTATTTTTATTAAAATTTTTTATTTATTTTCATTAATTATTATTATTATTATATTTTTGCCCCCCAGGCCCCAATATGGGTCAGTGACCTGTGCCCAGGTGGGCTAATCCCTGTATAAAAAACAACACAATTTAGTGTTCTTCGTGTGCAGGTCATCACATAACATCATATTAAGCATTTCACATTTTATTGAAGATAATATTTACACTGTAAAAAGTATGTCAGTATTTACATGGATTTGTACAAAGAAAGTTACCGTAACAAAAAAATTTTTCTACAGTATTGAGTAACTAAAAATAAAAAATATACATTATAACATGGGCTGGAGGCCAGGTTATTAAGAGGTTCTGGCAGGTACTGGTCAAATGGACCCCAATCCTAAAGGGCCCCAGCCTAACCATTAGAAATGAGGCCCAGGACTAGGGGGTCCAATCTTAATAGTTAAATAGATTAAGTTTGGGCTAATTTGGCCAGAAACCTTCCATCAGTGGTCCCACTAAGGCAGAAACTGCAAAAAATCTGGCGTGAAGTATTGATAAAACATATTTAGTTGCCTAAGTTTCTACACCAGTGAGAACACATCAAAATGCTGTAGCAACAAATATTCCTACTTACAATATCAAACACCAAGTGAAAGAATGGAACATAAATTTCTCGGAACAGATCTTTACTTTTCCCATACCACGGCAGTTGATTAAATTTTTCACAACCAGAAAAATTTACAATTTCTGTGCTTCCTTTCTTGTGTCTCAGCACTGAACACATGAGGCAAAATCTCGTTAACTGGGAGCCATGTTATTGAAGAAAATAATTTTGGGAAAGATGTATAAAAATTTTAAATAATGAGAAAAATACAGTTACCTACAACAGATAATTGAGGCAGCCAAAGGGAAGAGAACAGGTGAGTTACATTCCCTACTAACTGCCTACAGGTGACACACACCAACAAACAACAACTGAGATTTAGTAATAATGATAATAAAATTAAGCTCATCAAAATCTTTTCACAATAAACACAAATTTTATAAACTGTTCAGACAATAACTAAAGCTTACAAAACTTATCAAATATTAGTTACCATACACTTCATTTGTTTCACTGGATATATCAATATCATACATACCCAATATATCACAGGACCAGGGACAGACAATACATGAAAGAGGTCAAATGATTAAATATTGTTGAAGTTCAAGAAATAATATGATGTCCTGAGATAACAACTGTCAACTATGATCATGAAGCTCTGGTGTACCAACAGAGACTTTCCATTACATCCACACAGTGCAAGACAGGTACGATACAATTGCCTTGAGTAGATTTTCAAAATTTAAAGATAAAATTCACTCCCATCCTATGTTATTTCATCTCTGGACTCAGGTTCAAGTTTGGAGTTAATGAACTTGGGTCCAAATTCTGAAAGGTTTGCACGTTAGTTTTTCCTCATAGCTGGAGATGTAAAAATGTATTTAACTGGCTGACTTAGGCAACAGCCCAAAAATTTTCAAAATGGCATTAAAATTACTCTAGACTTAATCTTACCAAGTTACTTTCACTGAGCATACAGAATCTTTGTAAATCCAATTCTTGTATCTTAAGACACAATCACTGAACACTGCTCACTAGGCTTAAATGAATCAATGGTAATACCTATACATTCTATACCCAAAAAAAGGTTGTCATAACTACTTACATCTTTTCTGACTTACTACATTCTTAAAAAGTTACTGAGAACATTATTATAATCATACAACATTTTGGGTAATAAACATCTTCTAAAAAATTCAAATCCTGCAAGATACTGACATTGAAAAGGCACTAAGAGACAACAAATTTATTTCTCTATGGCTTTTTTGGCATCTGTGCTACAACAAATACATTTAATTATTCCAGGAAGCTAAAGACAACTGAACACTAAAGGTAACTGAGCCGAAGTTACTGGAGCTCAAGGTGACAGTGCCAGAGCTCCACCCACAGAAAGTTCATCACTTTTAAAAATACTGTAATTTATTCTTACAGCCATACTCAAGGATCTCCTGCAGTCAGCCCTGTCTGTCTTCTATGCTGATATAAAGTAAAACTCACCGATACTTTCATGTTATAGTTGCTCATATTAATTCAACCGTAGAATTCCCAAAAAACTTCAATAAAAAAAGTAAATAAAAAAATTACCATCAGAGTATTTCATGAGATCATTAATGTCATTTTTATAATCTAAAACTATAGTTAAGCCAATTAAAACATGTATGAAAAACTTTATATACAGTAAAAACCCCATAAATCAAAATAATAGGGGCTCTAGCCCTTACAAATTATGAGCTTTTATGAAATATGAGGGACACCTTCCGAGAGGGAGAGGGGAGGAGACAGTACTTTTACCTTATCTGCCTCCATCAAAATTTTAACTTTTCTAAGTACAGTACCAGATTTAGGTATCCAGGGCTCAAACACTAGGCAATGATGGAAAAACAAGTGGGAAAAAACTTGTGCGGTAGACCAGCAATGTACACTCCAAGATTGATCAACATGAACTGACCGTGAACGTCACACGTGATACATATAGTACTTGTTTACACTGAGGCAGGCGGGCAGTTGGTGGTCGCATCCCATGGCAACATGTGTGCCATATATTAAAAAAAAGTCTCATACTCGGAAATTTTACCAAATATTATGAAAATTGTAACATATACATACTTGTATATCGTAATACAATATTTTGAAATGTAATATATATTTGTAACAGTAAAATATTAGAAATTATGAATAATTTTGAATCTGGGGGTACAAATTATATATATATATATATATATGTGTATACTGTATATATATATATATCCAACAGCTACAATAATTGCTTTTAGCCAAAATGCCATATACACCCCTGCAAACAACTGCAAAGTAGCTCTTACATCTGTAAAGTGACAATATCACATTTAAGAAATGAACTTTATTTTATTTTTTTCATATTTTGTGTATGGATGTGTAAACAGTTTAAATAAATGAGAAAGAAATGGGTAGACAAACATTCTAATAACAGAAGAAGATAAAGTGTTAAGATATATTTAAATTATATCCAGCAAAAAAATAAAAAAATAAAAAAAATAAAAAATAAAAATGTTATCTTAAAAGATATCCCCATAGATCTATATCACAATGTGCACAGGTAGAGGTTTCATAATCTTGCAGATATATATATATATACAGGGTATATATATAAATATATAATGCCCTACAGATCACTGCCTTGGATGAGCTGTCCTTCATATTAGTACAACTGACAAAGTTATTTAATAAGACAACAGGAAATAATAATTAAAAATCCCACCTGCCATGAATTTAAAAAGAAAATATGTTTCAACTTTATTCAAAACTAATTTGTATTACAAAACTAAATATATATACTGTACTATAATTCATCACTTTAAGGAGTAGTACTAAGGGTTTAAAGCTGGCATGACACTTTTGGGAATCTGAGTAAATATGTGATTAAGATGACATTTATAGTATGTCTGAGTATAAAAGTAAGTGTTGTGTTGCCTCTGAACCTAGGAACTTAAACACCTACAAAAAATTCTGGTGTACTGCGGGCAATATTTATCCCCTAAAAACACCTGAATTTTTGTTACAGGTTTCAGTTGGCATTACACTAACTTTTAGACCCATCGATATAGTATAAATGCCTACTTTATACATACAAAGGCTGTTACTAAAAAGAGTATTGTCCCAACTCTGATACCCCTTAATATTACTCTTAAAAACAGAAAACACATTGATAAAAACAAAATATTTACAAAATGGGAAGAATTACAAAATAAATACAAATGTTATGATTTCAATACAGACCACAGATCTTTTCTAAAAATCTCCTAACAGAAATGGAACACACAAAGTGAACATTTACAATTCTCCTCAGGTCCACCACAGCCATACCAGCAACAGAAACCAATGCTAATGGTATCATAGTAAACCTCCACACACTGTACATGAAAAACTTACAAACTAACTTGACACCCTTGATTAGTTTCCTCAGTGTTAGATGAACACACATACTCCTTAGAAAACTTCACACTCAAATACACTTGTAATGAAAACATTCACCTCACATTCTTTCTACATGGAATGACTAAAGTATCAGAGTTTATGCCCCATTGTAGGGGTTGCTGCATGAATCAACCCTTTGCAAGGGATTTTTTAGAGTGTCCCCAGTCACTATGTAAAACAATACTCATGCACTTCACCGTCACTCATCTTTAATATCTTCATTTTTCAATACTATGGAAAGTTTCTCACTATGGTGGATGACAGGCAGCCTCACACCACACGTCTCCCCACTTTAACTATCACACAAAAATAAGATCACAACCACTTGGACTGGTGAATTTATCAAAGTTCAACCAGCCACAGTAAGACAGGTTTAGAAGTTAATCCATTTTCTTGTGAGATATATTAAATATTCTGTTGTGAATGTTATCCAGAAATTATTGTATCACTTCATCATCACCAGTAACTACTGAGTAAAAATTTAATTTATTTACCGTCAACACTGGTCAGTCATTGTCCCGGGCACCATCTTCTTTTGGGCCTGTCTCCTCAGGCTTGACAATCTGGTAGGTGATGAGGTACTCTGGATAAGCCTGTAAAATCCACAAAACTTGTCAACTTTTATGCAATTAACTTTCTTCTGGATTACTATATCCAACTTGATTAATAAGTCTACATTTCTATGCACATTTAGGATAAGGCACAGTTTTTATGACACTCTTGCCACATGTGAATCACTGTACCTGTGTTTTAAGCTAACATCTGAACATGTACTTGGATTAACAACTGCCCCCAGGCCCCAATGTGGATCTGTTACCTATGCCTGGGTGGGCTAATCCACATAAAAAATTTTGAATTTTACTCAGCTGTTGTATAAGCTCCAGTATATATCAAGGTGTATTTTATGTAAGCTATTATCATATGATATTCAAATTGTAACCACTGATCTTATGTAATGTCTACATAACAAACTATTAAACATCTCGATGTCTTCTAGTGTGTCTATATATTACAATAATACTCATTTACACAACAACATAATCTATGGACTTCTAAGGGGAAAATAACATTAAAACAACAGACTATAAATATAAAGCTTCATGAAAAATTCACTTAACTCATTTATTCTCTTGTGATTGAAATGGAACCAATAACAAGACTTATGCATGAGCAGGGCTGTACATACAGAAAGAAAGTAATACAATTTGATCCTGCAATAAATATACTGGGGACAAGAGGGTAAATTCAACATAAGTTAAAAAAATTTAATTACCCTAAGATCATGACTAAACTTGTATACACCCAAGTACTACTACACACCTGTTCTCCCCGATAGACAACATACTCAGGATAGCACAGGCCCCCAGCACTGGGTCGTCCAACAACTGAGTGGTGACCGGGAGGAGCATGAGCCATCTTCATCGCCGAGAACTGAAGAAATGACTTGCCCAATGTCACACGACACAGAAGCAGTTGTCTGCAAGCAAAATATTTATAAAAATATGTAACTTAACCTGATATGTAAGTAGAGGACTCTCAGTTGACAACATATGCAAATCCAGCCATACTATCATCTGACCCACATTGACTAAAGTACCCAATGTATACTTAAGTTTGGTTAACCAGACATACTGTAAAGTACATTAATACCCTCAAAAGAAATTGTGTATTCTTTGCAATATACCATTCCATGTATCTTCCTCTACACACACCATGTTCTATAAACCCCAAAACCCAATAAATTCATAACCTAATTCCCTACACCATATGTCCATTGTATTAATATCAACCAGTGTAGCCTCAGCAGTTATCTCCACACAACCTGATCCCTCCAGTTCTATTTATCCTTCATAGGTTACTCTCTCTCTTACCTGTAACAGGAGTAACAAGACCGATCTTTGTGCACGGGGCACCCACTTCCACCTCCTATTCCATAAACATACTGGTTGCTCTTGGAGGAATGTTCCGCAAAATAGATACCTGAAAATGTACTCAACTTTACTAAGCAGTAATATCAAAGTATGACTTTACTATTGAGCGAATATTCATTATAACTACATACCTGTATTTACAATGGCATTTCAAGAAAAATTTTTCATAAGTTAATTTAATGTACAGTACCTGTATTTCCTTAATAATTTTCTGTATATCAGAACAATTATTTGGCTAGTCAGCTTATCATGAAGTCAGTTCTAAAACCCATTCAAATTCCAAATTTCATGCATCAATCCATTACTATCCTTCTTTTGCTCTCACTTTTGCATGGATTGATTCAAGAGAATTAAATTTCTAAACATGCGCAGGACTTGGCACACACAGTGGAGGAAGGGGACGGGGGAGCAGCGTGGGGGATCTCTCAGCTGTTCAGTCTCATGTCCCATGAAACGATTGCCAAATGGCAATGCAATATTTGTTCTTTTATTTTATTTATAATTATTATTTTTATTTATTCCCATATTTACTGGTACAGTATACAGTATTGTACATGCGACACATTTCAGCGGGGCTGTCACCAAGCTGACTAAAGAAACATATGATGCCGTTACCTGTATGCCGTGACGTCACATAAGTGGGAGGGAGAGCGCAGCTAGCCGCAGTTACATCTCACTGCCTCAAGACACACGTATACTTCCCACACATACACACCCATACTCTTCATTTTCTTATTTTATAGTTTTTTTTCTTTATTTCCAGGCCACATTAGAGTACTGTATAGTAATGATGCACACCTGGAGCACAGAATCCCCAGTTTTTTCGAATTCCCTCCCAAATTTTTCCCAGTGAATCGAAGATCGCCAAACCAAAAATTATTGTTAAACAAGGGATACCTGTACAGTATATCAAAGGTATAAAAAACTCACCTGCACCAAACATCCCACCAATATAGGCATGTCTTTCATCAAAGCCTTTTTGCACAATGGCAGAAATGAATGGAGAGCCATGGAAGAGCATTCTCTCTGTGGACTGCCCGTTACTTTCTTCTGCTACCTCTCGTCTCCGATGGGCATAACGCTCCCAGAGACGTTTGTTGCGAACCTTTTGAATCTGAGGAGAAGGGAATTATTAATATCATAAAAGAGTATATAATATCTAAAGAGAGGGGAAGTAATAGATCACAGATAAAATGAGGTACAGTCCCCCAAAGAAGTATCATTACATTTTCCGTCGCTACAATTTGAAACGCTAGACGAAATGCTTTGATATGATCCCCAGTGCATCATCATAAGTCGGGCCGCCTGCTCGCCATATCAGCAGAAAGTTAGATATGGGGGTAGGATTGGAGGAGGGAGTCATCATTGTATGACATACTAGATACTTCAATATACAAAAAATTCATTAAGCTATATTAATGTATTTATCATTGAAAAACGTATATACTCATTCATATTCAAAGGTCACATATGTAGAACTACCATCCGTTCAGAAACAGGTCGAGTAACATTGCTCGGAAGCCTTGAATAACATTGAACCCCTGGCTAACGATTCTTTTTTGGGGGGCAGTACATATGGTGGAACTCTTATAGTGAAGCATCACTGAGAGGTAATTTAGGGTATGTGACAAAATTAGATATCCACTGAATCACTGAGAGATTTCTTTTATTTATGGGGTCACTTGAGCCTACATCCATACTATAAATGTCTTCTTAATACTACATACTGTATGCAAAAGTACCAAAAACAGCATGTGACCACTTGAGAATGTAAACTAAATACAGTACTGCAGTATCAGCAACTGATAAAAAAATAATACTCCTTGGTTATTGCTACATTCTAGAAAAAGCTGTACTATTCCAAATCACCCATGGAATCGCAGTGAACAAAGTAATCCACATTTAAATGGTACACATACAGTACTTCATCGGTATAATAACTTAATTAGGAATTGAGCTTCAAAATCCCCCTTTGTGACCAAGAAGGAAAATGAAAGTGAAAAGCAGAGAAAACTCATAATCTAGCTAGGATGTTGCTTGCTGTGTTCATATCAAAGTTGACAGAAGATTATTGTCAGATGCTCCACTCCAAGAGGAGGCTTCAAAGACTGCTGGTGGTATAGAGCTGAGCCTCACATGCAGACATTTATTTAAAAATACCATACACCCACAGATTATTATTGATAAACAGGTACCTTGTACAGTATAAAGATACTTCAGCATTAATAACAATCCCCTGGCAACCCTATTAAGCAAAATATGACCATTTCATTTAACTTAACAAATAAATCAATACAGAGGGCCCCCCAAGTACGCAGATTTTTATTTTGCGGTCCTCTATGAGTCACAAATGACACCCTGGATGTACCCAAGAATGTCTGTGGGTAATTTTAAGGTTGCCAGCAATTTTGCGGCTGGGACAGGGAGCCATTTGTTCTAGAAACACTAATTTCTTTTACCTGTATTGTAAATATGTATGTATGTGTATACACACACACATACAAAACACATACAAATAAATAATAATTGGAAAATCTTCTCACAAATAATTGAAAAAAATTCTTAAAAATGCGAGTCTACCCTCAAGGTCGTGCTTTATTAATAAAGTAACAAAGCATGGACTTGAGGGTAGACTCACATTTTTAATAAATTTGTTTCTGATTATTTGTGAGAGTATTTTCCTATTATTATTTATTTTTATGTGTTTTGTGTGTGTGTGTGTGTCTACACACACACACACACACACACACACATATATATATATATATATATATATACAATACAGGTAAAAGAAATAATTGCTCTAAGGGCAGACACAAAGAGAATATACATTTCTTTGTACACAAGTAAAAATGTACCCCCCGCCCCTCCAGTCCACAAATGCTATTCGCGGATTTGGCGATTTGCGGCCAATTTGGGGGCCCCCCTGTATTATAAAGCTCAATGGTATTCCTAAAAATCTGATGACAATTCATTTACCTTAACAATATTGTACTTGGAGAAGACTCCTCCTGCATGGCCATTGTCTCTGTGTTCCCTGATGGTTGCCTGCATCTCCTCCTCAACTGCGATAAACTCCCTGTCCTCTCGACACAGGTCCAACAGAAGAGTTCCTTGGGATGACCCATTTCCACTACTGCTATTACTACACGCACTCCCGACCAACCCATCTGTTGATGCAAAAGTTTTATACAGTATACAATTAACAAAGGCCCAACAGCTCTAAACTATGGTATGTATATAATGCAGTAACATACATAATACATACAGTATCAACAGAATTGATACTTGCTATGTGTCCATGCCGTAATACTTTCACATACACCAGGTTAATAGTACTCCAGCATCTCGTCATTGGGGTCTTCCTCCTTAACAATAGCCCCTGTATGATACCCTCACAGTATGGCTCTGTAATAATTGTTTATCAGACCATAGCTTACAGCCCAGAGAAGAACAAACACATACAACAGTAAGTAAATGAGCAGGTGTATACCCAAGCAAGTAGACATACCCTACAGTGACAGTAAGACCTGACCCAGGAGAGGTCACAGACAAGGTATTTGAGTTAACCCTGCGATATGACCGTGTTAAACCACACCTGGGCAAACAGCTGTCCAGACCTGACCCAGGAGAGGTCAGTCACATTGACCCAAGGGAGGTCACGTTCACAAAGGAACCAGAATTCTCACCGCCACTCAATCAGCTCAACCCGGCGTCATGACCCTGTTAATTCAAGGAACTGCTAACCAGCCAGCACTTCTGTTACTGACAAACACAGCCGTCTAGACACACCCAGTCTAGTGTTAATTAGGAGAGGCCATCTGCCGGCTTTCCTCCAATATAAAGGCCCTGCAGCCCCTTCCACGGGCGAATATTTTCACATCACTGAAGACAGAAGAAGTAGTCACGCTCGTCACTAGTTGAGGTCAGGAGGGAGACTTCCCTCCCCAGCACTGCATCTCCAGCTAGCAGAGTCTCCCATAGGAGACATAGTCCAGCACTCCAGCACTCCCTTCAACAGCAACTGCTGGGCCTCCCTCAGGTCACATGTGAGTCATTGTCAGAGCTATCCATCGGGTGAGTTACTTACGGTGGGAAGTGTATTCATTTTATGTTTGTGTCCGAGAGTCAGTGTCTAGTAACTTCAACATAATGTTCTATTAATGTGTCCGTGTCATTGAGTGAATAATAAATAGTTGTATTGAAGCGGTGTTAAGAGAAAGATTTCCCTTAAGAACATATTAACAGCAAAATAACTAACCGGCCACGCAACCAAACTTCTTCTCTTTACATTCCCCCTACTTTCTACTGAAATCCCCCCCGACCCATTACAGCTCTTAATGTGGTCTATGATATACCCAACACCCATGCCGGGCATCACTCACTTTTTTTATGTTTTTCCTAGTGCCCTGCTTGTCTTCCTCAAGTGTCCCTGTCACAGTTACTTTGTCTAGAACAGTCTGTGCCCTTCATTGTGAAATCCCATGAATACAGTACAGAGAAAACCTTTTGCACATACGTACCTTGTACTCATCTTTAGCAAAGAACACAGAGTATGTTATTGTTCTTAATCTATGAGAAGGCCTCTTTCACTCAAGACCTTGTCGTGTCCACTGACTTCACATGATTATTAATACAACTATAGGCATTTTGTTTACTGTAATCACCTGTTTTCCAAAACTGTTCAAAAACTTCTTTTACCTTCTCCTGGCTTATACATGTGAAGCAACCACATTTACAAGGAGATCCAATCTTTCATTCATCCACTTCCTTTTTCCACTGTGAGGGGTCACGTACACACTTCCTTGCACACCCACAACCTTCCTCCACACTTTCACTAGAACTCATAATATGCACTTGCAAACACTAATTACACAGAAAAAATATGTGAAATCTCTCATGTAGGGGTCTAAAAAAAAAAATAAAATAAAAAAAAAAAAAAAAAAAAAATCCCCCTCCCAAAGCTGCAAACATACCCTCACTTTCTGGGCTCTCATTGGCTGAGTGAGTGATGCCACAACTTCACACACCTGTGATTGGTCATGTTCTTTAATGCACATGTTGGTATTTTGCCGAGACCGCAACCTACATGTGTCTCATGGAAACTAAAGAAAATGTTGAAATTCCTGTTTCTTAAATCAGTTTTGGCCTTGTTCCAAAAACGTATCTCCCTTCCCAACCTAGCTAACATTACAGAAAACTGCCTGGGCAACACATCAGGACAAAAATCTCATTTCTCCAAGGTTGGTTGATACATCAGTTTTCTACTGTGCTCTTCATATAATGCCCAGTTCCCACTCTGTATCAGAGGGTTGGTGATAAGAAGGGTATCCAGCTGTAAAACTTGCTTAAAATTTGCCTGATGGCAACAGGGCCACTGTACCCTTAGGTAATCATGGCTAACACAAGCAAGTTTAAAAAATAACCATAAAAAGTGATGATCAGAAGTGTGCAAACAAATGACGACTGTATACATTAATTATCTTCAAATTGTGATATATATTTCAATAATTTCTTTGAACATTCTCTGTCTATCTTTTCCTTTTAACACTAACATCTTTTCTTTCCTCCACCTTTGGGGTGGATCAAGGAGTAAAGAAAACTTTGAGAAAGGGGTAAAATGGTAGAGGAGATTAGTCCAAGACAATTGTAGAAAATGAAAGGAAAGGTCCAAGAAAACAAGTAGAAGTTCTAACATACACTTCATATCTTATCAATATTTTTTTTATTAATATCTCTAATTGCTCTGTACTCTTAAACTTATAATAAAAATTTTATGAAGTTTTAGACAAACTGAATGAATATATAACTTACTGTGTTGAATAAGTAACTTCTCGACTCCCTTGAGCAACTTGTGTCGGTGGCCATAGGCGTTGATCCCTATAGTTTTTAGCTCTTCATGACCCATTTCTGCTAAAATGTCAAGAGTGATGTCCTCTCTCTCAAATATATCTCGCAGATGTTCCAAACCCAAGCTGAAAGGAGGAAATAAAATAAAGATGCAAATTTGGGATGGGTTAGGAAGATCTATATCTCCTTAATAACATCTGTGTTTTTGTATATGTTTTGGGGTTTATTTTGAGTTTCAAAGTTGGCATGACACTGATTTCAATTATCTCTAAAACAAGCACATGCTCCAAGAACACTATCATTCCACACAAGAATCCCTGAAATAGCACTTTAACACTTTAACTCTGTTATCATCATCTTTGGCAGATTTACCCATATTGTGCCATCATCGGCTTAAAACGATTGGCATTTGGTGCCATTAATTTAACCCTTAGGCCCCAGGTGATGTTCCAAAACGCTCACCTATTCCCGCCACTGTTTAAATGCCCAGTGCGGGTTATCAGGTTCCAGTGTGACTATTTACCTGTCACACCACACACTCGGCCACAGGGAAGCTTTCTGTACATAATTACCTACTTTTGTTTGTTTCATTTTCATTGTTTGTCCATTTTATCATGTATCAAAGTAATATTGCTAAAAGTAGTGTAGTTGTATTGTAGTGTAGTATTACTGTAAAACAATGCTATGATTATGTTATAAATGTATTTATTTGTGGAATTAGAATTATTTTATGGATTACTTGCTCTACCAAACACAAAGACAGCCAGACAGACTGTCAACCGATTGGTGAGTGTTGCCAAGAACTTTTTATGAAAAATTATGCAAATAAAATATTCTAAATGAATTATTTATAGCAGATAAGTATTAAGATCAGTAAATACATACATTATTGGCCACCTCGGACACAAAGGCGAGCTAAAAATAGCTGTTAAGTACGTCGGGACCACGAGCGTAAGCTGTCAAACCAACACTATCTCCCCCTTCCTCCCTCCCTCTGCACGGTCACGAAAGTTTCCAGAGGGTCAGTATATAGTTCTTCTTGCTTAATTTTTATTGTTTTATCATTTTAAAAGGTTAAAAATTATTTCTGGAAAAGTTGATTTTTCTCAATTTACCCCCGGGTGGGGAGTACTGCCACCAGCACCTTAACCCGGAACTTAAGGGTTAAAGCTGTGCACCAAAAATCATACTAAGAATGGAAAGTCAATGATTGGTTGATATTCTAAAATGAGACACAAAACTGGTGGAGCCTCAAATCAACTTGCTGTCATCTTCTTAGAATGATTTGGAATTATTTACACCTCATCACCCTCCCCCTGTCCCTCACCCACACGTATGACCCTACCGGCTGGCTCACCACCTACGTAAGGGCACAAAATCCCACCGCTGCACCACCACAACCACCTCTTGCATCACAGCATCCCAACAACAACCAGCATTCAGCAGTTGCCAGTTACTCTCTGTTTCACTTCATACTCATTAACTGTGGGAGCATTTATCTATCATCTAACAAAACCCCAGGTAACCGAAAAATGCCATTGCCATTATTTCAGTTATTGGATACTCAAACTAACAATGGTGGCAGGTTACCTGTTAAGGAATGAGGCAATACTCATATTAACGGGAGTTCCAGGACTAGTCTCACATCGAGAGTGGTCACAGCAGCCATCCCCAATTCCAGGTGATGAACACATGACAGGTGTAAAGGTTAAACTGGCACCAGAAGGCATCATTACTGTTTCAACTGAAAAATAGGATACTAATTATCTTTCCACCATCAAGCTTTAGGAGGGATTAATACATCTCAATGTTTATTTTGTGTTGTAGATAATAATGAAGTAGACTGCCTAACTATGTGTACATAACTACACAAAGAAAGCTGATAATAAAAATTATTAATGGTGCTTGTTGTTGGTGCATGATTTAGTTTTGAAATTATCTGACCAATTTTAAAACTTATATATCATTTTACAGATAAAATTATAACAATAAAAGAACTTACAAATTCTTTGTCAAGTACTAAAAAGAAATAACTTTGTTCTATCTATAATAGTTTTGAAGTTATTCAGTTTTAAAATGGATCAGATTATTTATGGATACCCTATATATATATTTGTTTAATCAATGGGTAAATGTGAAAAGTTAGCTATAATTCTAACTACAGTGGACCCTCCATTAACGAGTGGTTCAATTTACATTTCAGTTAATGAGGACTTTGTTCTATTAATGACAGCCTTACGAGAAACACGTTTTGGTGCGTGCATCAGCTGATCGACTCGTCCACCAATAATCAGTTCTATGTTTACCTTTGTTTCCAGTGGATTAAACATCGAGAAAGTTGTGCTCTTGAATATTTTTGCATTTTTACATTAAAATTATTGGTCAGTGTTGGTTTAAATAATAAAAAAAATGGAATTAGTTAAATTGTTGTGAACTTAAAATTTTATTGGTGAAATTATCAAGTATGGGTCCGAAGAAATCTCAGAAGGCGATTTCAATTCAAGTGAAACAAGAAATTATTAAGAAATATGAAGAAGGCATTAGAACCAATGCACTCTGTAAAGAATATGGCATGTCATCATCGACTGTGTCTACAATCAGCTGTTTGCGCTGCCGCTATGTAAACAAAGCCGCGGGAATTCTACATACAGTACACACCTCAAATTATGTGTTAAAATATTTTATTGTTTTTCATTTATTATTGTACAGTATACTGTATAGTACTGAATTTTGTTTAGATTTAATGTTTTATTAATTCTATTACTAGTATACAGTACTTTGTATGTACTTTTTAATTCATTTTAAGGGAATTCTGTGAGTTGGAACCAATTACCTAATATCCTATTGAAATAATAGATTCACTTAACGAGATTTTCAATTAACGAGTGACTCTGTGGAACCAATTGTGCTCGTTAATGGAGGGACCACTGTACTATACATATAGATTCAGATTTAGACCAGCTGATCCCTGACTGACCAAGACCAAAATCAATATTATACACCAACTTATACATGATGTATGCTTACTATGTGATCAACAGAACCTTGTTACAGTATTATGTTGAACACATTTGTTTAGATAAATACAGACAGACACCAGCATGACTCTCCTTCAAACTTTTTTAATCACAGAACAAGTACAGATTTAGGTATAAGTACATGAACAGTCAAATGGTTTTGAGGGAGAGGTGCTACTGATAGACCTCTGTGGCCTTGGGATAATGTATGACGTGACATGTTAACATGATGGATACGTTGGAGCCTTATTGTAAAAGGTGAACACCAAAGCTGAACACATCTGGCAAGGCAGCTACAGAAAACAAATGACAGTAAATGAGGGAATCTGTGTTGCTCTTGACTACAGCTGCCATGTATCGTAGCAAGAGATGGTTTGTGAGAATGAAAACACATGTATGGAGTACTTTCACCTTCAGCACCAATGTTATTAAACACTTGTATTGCATACCTTCAGCACCAATGTTGTTGATAGATATGAGCGATGGTGCTGGGGAGACTGTTGCCTGGGTAGCTGCCTTCGAGGGTGTTCCAGGTGGCTTGGGAGACGCAGGGGAGGCTGGCGGAGGAGCTGCCCCACCTACAGCTGGTGTTAGGCTTGGCTGACTCATCATGGCATCTTGTAACAAACTTCTCACATCATCAGCCGTTGCCAAGTGTAGTGGAGTTTGACCTTCCTAAAAACGACATACCCACTCATATATAATACAAATATCACTTTTTATCAATTAATGAAACTGGTTGTAAAATATCATTCATAAATATATACATTGCCCTTAAGGCCCTAAATGTCTCATACATCATTAATTAATAGTACTGTACTTAAGTGCCATTTTCTTTTTCTTAAATTATAAAGTTTAGCCAACTTTATACTGTAGCTATAAAAAATACTCTTCTCTCTCTCTTTCTGAAGAGACAAACAGGGTGGTGACATGCCACAGCAGCTGACCTGGTTCTTGAGGTAAGGGTCAGCACCATGAGCCAACAAGAGGGCACACAGTTGAGTTCGTCCCTTCTGAGCTGCTTCATGTAGGGGTGTGAATCCCCATCTATCTGTGGCATTTACAGCTGTCTGAAACCTAATGAGCAGAGCTGCAATATCCAGATGGCCATATGAAGAGGCATTGTGAAGAGGGATGAGTCCACCCTGAAAATATATACGTAAAAGAATTAATTGACTTTGTATATATTCAAAGGTGTTTCACTGGCATTTAACAGTGGTGCTGATGTATAAGATGGTTATCATTTAAAGTGGAACAAAAAGCATCACCACAGTATCCTCTAAACAGAAATAAAACTGAAATAGAAGCACTCGTTTTACCATTATGTTACTCTTGTTTCAAACTTTTACTATGATGCTTAAACCAATTTTAACTTATGTTCCAGAAACAAAACATGAATGAAGAAACAGTCAAAAGAATGGACTAAAGGAACCCATTTCTGTTTCTCTCTACTCCCTGCCTAACTTCACTGATTTAGGGATCATTAAGTAGAATGAGTTTTTTTAATCTAGCAAGATGCATCCTGCTACAACACATTAAGTATCAAAGAAATAAAAACTACCCAGTCATTAATGCTGATGAGAACTAACCTTATCCTGTGCATTTACATCAGCTCCATTTTCTAAAAGATATTCAGCAACCTCTAAATTGTTGTATCCTGCAGCCAAGTGCAGCGGTGTTGAGTTGCGACCCTACAGAAAAGAAAAAATAAATTCAACCTACATACAGTATACATAAAAGTATGTCTGTAGAATGTGTTCAGTGAAAAATTAAATTATCTCTTCAAAATGGAAAATCTAGCAGTGACATAAATTGGCCCAAAATTTCTGAAGTCAAAACTTTTGACATACTGTACATGTGAAACTTGAAAATGCAACTGTTGTGGCCAGTCAAGAGTTAGTGATAGTGAATTGTATAAAACATGGCTGTGAGGTGAAGTGGATGGCCAAATTTACAATACTGTACTAGAGGGAAATATGGTACACAGATGAGAATGATTAACAACAAAGAAAATTGAAATTGTATTATAAAGATGCCTTTGAAAGTTCATCTGAAGAAAGTCCAGCCTTACATTAAGAACCTCTTGATGTTCTTGGGATGGTGAAACTTTATCATGTCATTTAAACAGTGGCTACACAGAATCATGAAAAAATTATTATTAACAGCTGACAGGAAAATAAAATAAAACTAACAGTTTCTGTATGGTATTCAAAGGGCCCAGCAGTTTAAAAGACAGTTCACAATTGTATGAAAAACTTTAGTTTTAAGGCCTGGAAGTGAGTGGAAACATGTGAGAAACACAAACTGGAAAGTAAAGGGGAAGGAACACATCTATCAGACGAGAGAACCCAGCAGAGGCTGTAGAGGAGTCAAACCTGATGTACAGTATGGAAGTAAGTATAGTGGATATACACAACTTAATACAAGTTATTGTACAGCTGGTTAGATTATGGTTGTACCTGAGAATCTCTGCAGTTAATGTTTTCTGGGTTGAGTAGTTTCTGAACCCGTGCCAGGTTGCCCTTCTTAGCAGCGTCGAGTAAGGCAGCATCACCTCGCAGTAAGTCTGCAACATCCTGGTCACTTTCCTTCACCAAGTCTAGTGCTGTGTGACCATCTCTGTTTTTTCTATTTACATCAGCTCCATGCTGGACAATAAAACACAAGATTATACACCATCCATGAAAAATAAATAACATGATATAACATGAAGTTTAGACACTCTTTGCTTATTTCATGTGATGATTAAACACCCTTACACAAAAATGAACATATGGTAACCAACCCCTTCAGGTAGCATTAGGTTGTTTAATCATCAAGTGAAATAAGCTGGGGTGCCTAATCAGCATGTGATCCAAAACATGAAATATAATCTTGTTCTTCAACACCACATACATTTTGATGTACTGTATATCTCCTGCTCACATCTCCATCATATACTATAGTAAATATGGCTGAAAAAAAAAATCACATTTTGTTTTCCAATATTTTCCAATATTTACAATTAACTTCTAATAAATGCAAAACAAAATTTACTGCAAGATGATACATTTAGTTTTCTGTTAAGGTGATTTTGTTGACAATACTGATAATGTGAAAGCCATCATTGGAATGGATGAGTATCACAACATATAAAAACTGATAAGGTTCATCAACCAAGTTTAAAGACCTTGTGCATGAAGTTTGGTTTTAATGAGCCCAATATAACTTTAGATATCTATCCTGTAAAGCCATATACTTTTTACACCTTCATGATCCACAACATCTACAGTAGTACATCTGTTTCATGATATAATCCTTGGCAAGTTTTTTTTTTACCTTTAATAATAGTTTAACAATGTCATATTTTCCTTTTGCAGCAGCTTCATGGAGTGGTGTGAACTTCCAGAGATCAGCAACATTAACACTGGCTCCGTGGCGTACAAGCAGTTCAGTGACCTCGTAGTGACCATATGAGCAAGCATTATGAAGGGGTACCAGACCACTGTAGAGGCAACATTGTAACAAAAACTGTTATATTAAAGCAGATTTAAAAATTGCAGAGATTATTTATAATAAAATAATCCCCATAAACTAGTCTACTGAACATCAGAAGAAGTAAATTTTCAAGGACTGTCACAGTATCTCCCTACAACCTCATCATACCACCACTGTCTACAAGTTTACAGCAAACATACTGGACACTGCACCATATTCATGTTTATACAACAAATACCAGCTGCATACTCAAGAATCACATTCTCACTTACCCTACCATTATCACTTCAGTTTTTAATACAGTACAGTATTGTATAGTTAACTAAAAAATATTTTATTAACTCTCTTACCCTTTGTCTTTAGCATGAACATCTGCTCCATGCTGAAGAAGATACTCCACAATGGGGACACGATTGTAACCTGCCGCAAAATGTAAGGGCGTTGAGTGACGTCCATCCAGATCTCGTACATTTACTAGGTGAGGTTGGGAAGTGAGGATGCGTCGGACACACTCAATATCACCAGATTTTGATGCTTCTAAAAGCTGCTGTTCACTGTCTACTCCTGGTCCCGGGGGATCCTCTGTGGATGACAAGTTACAATTTTAAAAACACATTATATACTGTATATGGTACTGTACTGTACTCCTAAGATTTAAACAGGAGTGATTATAAATAAGACATAAAAGTTATCAAATTTTAGCAATTACTTAGAATATGAAAAATCTAACCATGTAGTAATCGTTGGACAGGATCTGTGGCAACTTGTGTGGCAGTGTAGCCTTGGAGAGATACAATGGTGGGGTCAACACCAAATTGTAGCAGGACACGGCAGGCTTGTACGTCACCCTCCTTACCACACCGATGAAGAGCTTAAACACAAAAAACAGTCATAGTAACAGAGAATGTCTTATGAGGTGCTAAATAAACAACAGACATAATACTATCCAAAAATTGTGCTAACGTGCTCCTGTATCTTTTTTCAACTAATTTAATTGGTGACAAACCACAATGATTACTGTAATTTATTACATGTGGATGTTATTAGTTCCAACAAAGTCACCCACAAATGAAAGCATTAAAAAAATATTTCAGTTATATATATTGTATAATTATCTACAATACTTAACAGTACAGTATACAAACTATTGTCTTTACTTTCATCCCAATACTCACCAGTTTGACCAAGTCCATCTAGAGCATTAACTTTTGAGCCGTGTTTAAGTAATAGTTCCATAATTTCATAATGTCCTTTGTCTGCTGAAAGATGAAGAGGAGTGAGGAATTCCTTATTTTTTTCTTGTAAAGGAGCTCCTTTCCTCAGCAAGGCTTCAACTACGCTCCGACGTTTGCCACCAGTCGACCCAACTGCACAATGCTGGAGAAAAGTAAATATTACTACCCTGAACAAGCATCATGACAATAAATTTTTAAATCAACATGTTATTTTGACATCTTTGTACCTATACTGCGCCTGCATTTTCTCCAAAGTATGAAATTACCAGTATACAAATTAAAAATTTAGATATAATATGTAGTTGGAATCATGGGCATCTAAAGAGTAGCAACATTATAACAAAACAAAGTTGTCTGGGTCAATGTTACACAAAGATTTACTGAATTGTAATGATTTTATTTGCACTGTTTTCTCAAACAAGCATGGACAAGTGATAAACATGCTGAGCTAGCGAGAGATGCTGGGTGGGTTGGCTCCCAAATGTAAAGGCAGCCCTGGGGTTCAGACGTGTAAAAGAGCGGTCACGTACTATGAATACGCTTACTCTGCGACCCTACTGTATACTGTACATGCACAGTATTGTTTGCATATATAAATACCACTCAGAGTCAGTCTGACTGCAGTTAAGTCTCCGTAGCAATGGTGCTCCATGCCAGATGCATAGTTTTGACACAGGAACATTCATTATTGCCAGAAAAAATTCTGTAGATGTGCAATTTTTTCATGGGACAAGAGAATTTGTATTAATACCAGGAAAGCTCTCCAACCTGGAAGCACTGCATCAAATGTTCCAGCTAATGGGGCTATTACTGTAACAGTACAATCTACAACTGCCTGCTCCCATTCCTTTCCAAAAGAAATTAATTCACCACCACCAGTCTTGATTTTTTAATAATTGTTTATATAATTTCTTAAAGCAACATTTTCCCTTCCCTTCCATCTATTCATCTCTACTCCGGTTTTTTATATTCTTGCAAGCTGCTGTGGTGGTCAGACTCAAAGGTAAAAACAGACTTCCAATTTAGGTTGTCTGTTCAGTCTTCCTGCAGTGACATCCCCATAATGCACGGTATATAAAACTGGTAATTTATTATCAGACTCCATTTTGTCATGATAGTAAAATGATTTGGTTATGACTGAGTGATGAAAACTAAATGAATAGATTCAAGAAACATAAATACAATACAAGTATTAGGATGAGTTATAAGTGGTAGGGGGAGACAAAGGGATAGAAGGACAAGGTAAAGAATGTACTAGAAGTGAGGGAAATGAGCATCTAGGATGGAGAAGAGCATGTGAAGCATATGAGCTTCACAGGATTTGGCATCCTGTGTACCGCCGGCAAAGCCATGGGCTCGTAACACTCATCTTGCCCGCGGTGCCCACCGTTTCTCTGTGGATGTCAGTCACACTAATAACCTGTAATAGTACATCCTTTTTTCCTCTCACAGCCAAACTGTCGAATGACCTGCCTTCTTCTGTGTTTCCAAACTCATACAATCTGTCTCACTTCAAAAAGCTGGTTTTCCGGCATCTTTGTGGTGTAGATTAGTATAATCTTTTTCTTTTCTATTATTAATTTTTTTATACAGTCTCTCCTCGACTTATGACATATTCGACTTACGACAACCTGGACATACGACGGCCATGGTCGTATAAAATATTTTTCACATTACGTATTTTCGAGTCCTGGCGTTAGTGATCGCGCTGTGTACTGACAAAAGTTTTGCTTGTAATTCCCTTTAAAATGGCTGGCAAGCGTAAAAGTGAGAGTTCTCGTAGTGCTGAGAAGAAAAAGAGACACCCATTTTAGAATTTCTATGTATCATTTTTGCCTTTTCGACATATGACCAATTCGACTTACGACCTGGTCGTCGGGACGGAACCCCGTCGTAAGTCGAGGAGAGACTGTATTCTTATTTTTTAACCCCCTAGGCCCCGTTGTGGGTCGACAAACCTGTGCCCGGGTGGGCTATTCCCCGTATAAAAAAAAAGTACAGTACTTACAAGTGGTGTGTTGCCAGTGTACGGATGTTTAAAGTTGACAATCTCTGGAGACAGGAATTTCTTAAGACGTGCAGCATCAGCCTGGCGACAAGCTTCTAGTAAACTGTGACCTTTATACTCATCTGAAAATTAAAATAAAATTACTAAATTGTCTGTTACTTAAGTGTTAACAATATACTGTACATATACACTTAAACTCATTGACCCTTGTACTCATCTGAAGGTTGTGACCCACTTGACAAAACCACCATTTCCTTACCTGTGAGGAAGTACAGTAGTGGTCATCTGGGAAAACATTACTGTGCAAGATTGTTGAAGGTTTTTTAAATTAGATGGTTATAATGCACCAACAGTTTGTCATCACCGATACTTCTCTAACTTCTCACTGCCTTAACTTCATATCTTTCTCAGTGAACAATACAGGACTCTACATTTCTAACTTTTTAATTTTATTTATACTGTGCATATTACCATTTCCTACTTTACCATTTGCACAGTACTTTATCTTATAACTTCTTGTTTCTTACTGTTTATCTTTACCCTTTTATACTTACTAAGAGTGCAAGAATTAACAGTTTCTTCCCTTTATGACAGACAAATACGTATTCAAAATTTTTCACCATACAATTTGTAAGTTATTTATAATTTTTCATCACCTTAAGGTGTGGGGGGCTTTTATATGACATTCCTTTGCCTTGTTAAAGCACATCTTATAATTAAAAGATCATATCTGGGGTTCAAAGCTGACACCATAATGTTTTTGGAATGTGTGTGTGTTTGTAAAGAAGATATTTATAGGGGAGTTAGTAGGCCTAAAAATCAATGTCACACCAACTTTATGTCGCTACAGGAGTGTTGAAGAGATGAGATAAATAACTCCCCAAACAACATATTCTGCTGATTTAGCTTCAAATAATAAGTGAACACAACAAACCACTTACATGTCAGCCGCTCTTGTAGCTCTCTAGAAGGAGCAACATCAATGGCAGACTTAGAGTGACAATTGAGGAGTGTTGGGTCAGCACCATGGGCCAACAACAGAGAACACACCTACAAAGGTTTACACCATATAAGTAACATAAACAACCATAAAATATTGGAATGAACCCGCCATGCCTTAAAAGCACTATTATGGATGAGTCTACATCCTTGGCTAAACTGTCTTTGTACCTAGGTTAAGGCCATAATTAACAGCTTGACTACGTGATATTTTTCTCTACTACACATTTTTCCCCTCACTCTTTTAACCTTTTCCCACTATAACACCAAGTGGTCAGAACTAAGAGCAAAAATGCTTCTCTTCATTTGTTAAGTGTTATATGAACCTGTGGTTATCAAAACCACTTGCTCCCACACTGGGAATGGAGAGCACACTGTGCCCTCCACGACACAATATTCCCTCCTTAATACAACTCTGTCATTAACTAGGTAATCTAAGAAATAATGACTAAAAACCACAATTCTTTACTCACCTCAACCCGTGACTTTGAAGCTGCCTCATGAAGAGGAGTAAACTGCCAGAGGTCCATGGCGTTGACGTTGGCACCGTGCTTGATGAGCAACTCTGTGACCTCAAAGTGGCCATATGAGCAAGCGTTGTGCAACGGAACTAGACCCCTGCTTGTAAAAACAACAGGAGAAAAATATTTACTTTATTTATCAACTAAGAAATACCGTATACTAATTAAGACAGCATCTAATTTATTTTGCCCCTTAGCACAATATCTTTATCTTTTCAATACAACAACTTAATCTCTTCAGTACAATAACTAATCCCTTCAATACAATGAATTAATCCCTTTAATATGAATTAATCTCTTGCTGGAAATACCTTCAATCCAATGACTTAATCCCTATAATTTAAGGACTTAATTCCTTTAACGCTAATCCACCCCATTCACTGATATTGGCTACTGTCCCTACAGCTAACATTAATTAATGCTGGCTGCCATTTAATCCATTTAATATACTGATTTAATCCTGTTAATACAATGACTTAATCCTTTCAATACTATCACTTAATCCCTTGAATACAATTGCTTAACCCTTTAAAACAATGAACTATTCTCCTGCATACAACAATACTGTACATTCAACATATATGCTATAGCCCCAAATGCTTTTCAGTTTTGACTTACCATCAATCACAATTCTTTTCAGTCATAAACTACTCAATAAATTTTCTCCGTACCTCAAATTCTTTAACAACACTACAGCAACCATTATTACTTTACCTACCCATTTACTGTATCTATCTCCATACCTAAATACTGTATACTTAATCCCCCACAGTCTCATATACCCAAAGAAGCCATTTCCTATACAATCTAGCTTTTGAGGTCAACAACATCAAACAAGCCAACTGAAGTAAGATTCAGACCAAATTTGGGTACAGTGGCAGAATGACCATCTTAATGGGCTGACAGACCATTGTTCTCAGGTTCAAATCTCCATTGATGAGGCAACATGTGATGGATATCCTGTGTAAGTTAGTACAGTACTGATATTATAGCCATATCAATTCCAGTTTGTCACTGTAGCCCAAACAGTTCACAAGTATCCAGAACATGGGACCAACATACCTGTCCTATCTCAACTTGTCTGTGAGAGATGTGGGCGATACCCAAGGTTGACTTATAAATACTCCATGGTGTACTTGGCCTACAGTACAAGATGTAAAACCCCAGCTTTCATATCTGTGGTGGCATTAACAGTGTCCAGCTAAGACAAAAGTAACTCACCCCTTGTCAACAGTAACTTGCCCAATGTCAACAGTAACTTACCCCTTGTCTAGCTAAGGCAACAGTAACTTACCCCTTGTCCAGCTAAGACAACAATAACTCACCCCTTGTCCAGCTAAGACAACAGTAACCCTCCCCTTGTCCAGCTAGGAGAACAGTAACTCACCCCTTGTCCAGCTAGAACAGTAACTCACCCCTTGTCTAGCTGAGACAACAGAAACTCACCCCTTGTCAACAGTAACTCACCCCTTGTCCTTGGCATGTACATCAGCTCCATGTTGAAGCAGGATGGTTACTATTTCTGTTCTGTTGTATCCTGCAGCCAGGTGCAAGGGGGTGGACTTACGTCCATCTGAGGCGTGACAATTCACGTTGAGAGGAGTTAAAAGCGTTAATAGACGATCTTCGTTACCAGCCCTGGCTGCCTCCAGTAGCTCTTCCTTCTTGTACTCACCTGAGATTATAAACAATAAGCAAAACTTAATAAAAAAATCACATCCCAAAACAATGTTAGAGGACAAATGACTAAGCAGATGAAGACTAAGATTCACACAATATTAACCACTTGAAATAAAACTATCAATAATAGAAATATTTGCTGAGTGCTGTATGTTGGCCATCTTCAGCTTGAGGCAGCAGCTACAAGAACCACAAGTGATTTTGGTTAGTAACTTACAGTAATTTATCATTAAAATGTTATAAGCTAACCTGTAAGTACAGAGCGAGCGTAGGTGTCAGCCAGATCTAACGCCGTTTTTCCGTCCGTGTTGCGGATAGTGTGATCTGCACCGTTTTGAAGCAGAACTGAAAAGTGAAAATTCTTTGTATCAAAAGACACATTTGTAATGACTTAAAGTTCTTATTGCAAATGCCTGTACATTGTTTGAATTAAATAATTACATTTTAATTTAAGAAAGATTTAGAAATTCAATAACCCAAGGACTATTGTATGGGTCAGATGCATGGACACTTTCAGCAGACACCAGAAAGAGGTTGGAGACCTTTGAAATGTGGTGTTATAGGCAATTGCTAAGAATATGTTACACTGACAGGAAAACTAATGAAGAAGTACGAAGATTAGCAAAAACTTCAAGAGGGGATAATAACAGAAATATTAATGGGTAAATTTGAGGGAGGGGGAGGGGGGGGGGCAGAGAATGGGATAGATGAATGAAATAAAAAATTGGGTCCCCAGTGAGATACAAAACCATGGAGGATTGGTAAACAGCCCGAGAACATTTACAGTGGAGAAATGTGGTTGCCAATCCTCAGATATGAAGACTGTACTCTGATTGAATGAAAGTTCTTATTCAACATGATATATTAATTCAATTAAAACATTCTTACATGGAAATAAAGAAGTTTAATACTAATATATTGTTGGCATACAGGACAATTTTAACTTTTTATAAGAACTGATACACTTCCAACATTATTTGTTTGTAAATTTATAATCATGACAAGTTATATACAGTATAAGGGAGTCTATTACAAACACACGTCTTATACGTTAATTTTTTTTACATAAACTATACTGTACATTAACATCAGACTAAATTACAATCCATTACATTGTTTTCACAGGGGCAGATCCAGGGGAGGGTCTGGACCCCCAGTTTCCTCAGAAAATTCCAATAATTTTTCTTTAATGCATTATTGTACTGAGACATTTTTGTATTGTAAAAGTAATTTCTATTGACCTCAGAATATCTCCTAATATCAAGTGCACATGGCTTCAAAATTACCATAATATTGGTTAGATTTTAAAAACAACAATTATGGGGGGAGGGGCTTACAACACCCCTCCAAGACCCTACAGTTGGGTGGGCTGACTTACTGCATTCACCATGTTCCTTCACCCACAAATTTTTGGACCCATCCCCCCTTTTTTTCATTCCTGGATCTGCCCCCGTTTCAAAGTAAATATTTTACCTAAATCATCATCATCATTGTTTTATAGTTATTTTCCACACTTAATGGGTTTATCATGGGACTGTAACCTGATGGCAGCTCTCTGTACTGCACAGTTTTTTGTAACCTCTTTGTCAGGTTCTTACCGATAAGGTTATTTCTCACTACCCTTCCCCATGTCATTCTTGACCCACCCGTAGTTCTCCTCCCCTCTTAGCTCTCAACAGGATTTCCTATATCTTTGTCACATCACACATCCATCTCATCATTCTTATATCAACTTGTTCAAGCCTATGCATGTCATCCTCTTTAATATCTATGAAGATCTAAACCACTCAGCTATGGAAAATTGTCATAACAAGTTGATGATAATGATCTAAACATATCCTGTATTCAAAGTACAAAACAGTACCATACTGTAGAGCCTCTGAATGTGGTAAACAAGATGACAACAAAAACATAACTATTTTCTTAATAATACAACATACCAAGTCACCTCCCCCTTACAATTTGAACCAAAAATTTTGTATCAATCATTTAAATTCTTGTTCAAGGTTTTACATTGTAATATTGATGAAGAATTAAATATATACAGTAGTATACCAAAAATGAATGTTTGGGTAAAGGACAAGAGAGAATATGTGTAAGTGGGGATAAAGGGGACTATTGATTACCTCCTCTAAACCATTAAATAGCATAACAAACTTCACCAGTCCTAAAATAATGAAAATTTCACAAATATGTTGAGAGATCAACTTCAGTTGATAATTTTTCTATTATTATATTAGATAAACAAATTCTTAATTCCAGGAACATTGTGAACTACTAGTTCAATCAAGTAGTGTACATCAGTTAACTTGGTCCATAATGGGCAGCTCTTAATAAAACCTCCAGTCCACCAATAATCTCTCCATAAAATTCATGAGGCCTAATACCCCACACTATAAAATCTCCACTTACCGATGCAAACGTCAAACTTTGACTTTGATGCAGCCTCGTGGAGCGGCGTGTAATTCCAGTTATCTCTGGCGTTTGGGTCGGCCCCGTGTTTTAGAAGAAGAGAAACAACTTCAGCGTGACCAAATGAGCAAGCGTTGTGTAGTGGGATCAAACCACCATCATCACGAGCTCCAACAGCTGCTCCAAGATTCAACAAGTGCTCTACCACATCTCTTCGGCCAAAACCTGATGAAAACAAATAAATTCAACATCATTAACAAGGAGAGTACTGTACTATACATACAGATGCACATAAAACATATAACCATAGTTATTCCAGTATTGAAGGAGCTGTTACCCATGTATAATTATAGCTTTACTCGGATAACATGAAAGATTAGGCACTCCAGCTTATTTCATCACCAAAGATAAACCACCCCAATGCATAACTTAACCTAACCCAACCCCGTCCCCCCAGGTAGCATTAGGGTGTTTAATTGTTAAATGAAATAAGTTAGGATACACAACTTTCACATGATCCCTTTATTTTACTGGCAAAAGAGCAACCTGATGTGAAACTCAAGATCAAATATATTATTCTTATATACCGGTATTATCAGTATATATAAACTGTACAGTGTAGTCATTGGATTTCCAGTCTTTTATTTCCATTAAAATTATAAGCAATTAAGCTTTTTATATTCTGAAATTTAAATACTGCACTGTACACTGTAGCTAAACAAGTTTTATTTTACTCTGCACACTCATGATAGCAAGACTCCACCAAAGCTTAATTGAAGTCATATAAAACAATATTAGTTGTTAAGACACTGTCACTGATCACCTTAGCCAGACACTTGCTGAACCACACAAATATATGTATATATATATATTTTTTTTTTTGCCTAAACTACAGCAAATATGGCTATCCTGCATTTTAGGTGTAAATTACCAGACCAAGACTCTCATTGGCTCAATAATATACTGCTGTTGTAATATGTCCTGACCTAACCCAACATAACCTAACTATGATGTGTGTAATAATAATAATAATAATAAAAAGAAATAATCATAATAATAATATTAAACATTTATTAAATATCATTCTTTCATCATATATAGTACACCTACCTAACTTCCTAACTAAGGTAAGGTTAGGTTAGTTGAAAATACTATTGTGTGCTAGGATAACCATTGAAATAATTTAAGACACCAAGAAGGCAGGATTGTTCTGACAGCCTCCCACCTGCCCCACACACACTCTATCTACTTTCATATACAACTATCCAATAACATATTTCACAATATATCAGTCTTAATAAACAGTAAATACTACTACACCTTTTACTGGCTGTTAATATACACGGAATAACTGTAAGAGGGGTAAAATAACATCACCTGTCAAGATGGACTGTCACTTGGCATCTGGACCAGACGTTAATTTACACTCGTATATAACTACCCATTAACCTATCCCCTAGTGTATATCCCCTATATTAAATCTCAAAGCAAAACCATAACACCTATAGTTGGTTTATAGACGTGGGATGACTATAAGACGAGTGAAAGTGAGGTAAATTGATCAAGGTCTGGGGAGGAGGTGAGCGCCAGGGGACGTCAGACATCACCTGCTGCGAAATGTAATGGCGACGACTTCCTCCCTGCTGTGTCCCTCGCGTTAACATTCTGTGGCGACACTAACTTCTTCACCCGCACTAGGTCTCCGTTCCTGCAAGCCTCAAATAACTCCCGTAGAGGATCGTTCCCGGCGATCTCATTCTGCGAGGCTAAGGCCGACCTCCGGGAAGCCATTGTGCCATTGTAAACCCACTGAGACCATCGTCCGAGTCCTCGCCTTCCTTTACTCACTCAAATTTTCACTGCTTTTAAAACGTCTCACATCTCATTTAACTTCCTATTTATTTAAAATTTAAGCAGTATTTAGATATTTGGATTAATTTTTAAGTAACATTATTGCCCTAGAATAAATAAAATGTTTTGATGCACCTCATATATATAATTGCATCATAAGAATCAGACAAAGTAAATATCTCGCGGGAAGCGAGATTTAGCGAGATGTTTTGAGAGTGACGTCACTGGCAGACAGGCAAAATTAATAGTGTTAATATATCACCACGAACTCTACTTGGAAATCCATTAATTTTCTAGAGAATACATTCAAACCAAACATATATTGTTATAGTCAAAAACTGCTTATTATTGCTCGATCAAGTTGAGTTCAGTTAATTTAAAGTTATTTGTTTCCATAAAAAAATAATGGTTCGGTTTCTTTTCGTGGTAATTTGTTAACACTAACCACAGTGAGGTGGATGATGAAGCAGTAGGCTAAAACTGTCATTATTGCCTACTTAAGGTATTATTACCTTCATTATACATATGAGAGTATCGACAAAAATATGCATTAATAAATCTTACTTATAAATAAACAAAATTAAATGTACAAAATTGATATGCATATATTATTCATTTTAAATCTATTTAACTGATAATAGGGGGAATGCCACATTACTAATACAGTACTTTCACAAATTATATATTACAACAGGTGGTAACTAAATTGCCTCTATTAAAAAAACACCTCAATCAGTACACCTTATATGATGACAGATATGCTATGTGTATTAATTATTATCATTATTATCATTATTATTATTATTATCATTACACACATCGTAGTAGTCTTATTAGGGAGCTTTTCTTTTTTCGGGGATCCAACCAAGGCTTTTATTGGCTCAATATTATACTGCTGTTGTAATAACCCCTGACCTAACTCAACATAATCTAACCTAACCCTAGTGTCTTTATTCTTAATTTAATATATCGTAAGAGTGTGTGTGAAGAGCGTGAGATTTAGGGACAGTCATAGGATTACACCGGCTGCTGGCTGGCTAGTGTGACCCCAGGTGTCTTACAGGAAAAGCTCTCACTGGACAAAATCACATTGGACAGAATCCCACGATCAAAGGGGCGAGCTAGGTAAGGCAACAGGGGCAGGGTGAGGTGTTGGCTAAATCAATATTCATTATATAAATATTAGATAAGAAGATTGAGTCGAGAGAGAGAGAGAGAGAGAGAGGACAACGCCCCCTGTAAACCATCCTTGACTGAGATCACCCAACTCTCTCTCTCTCTCTCTATATATATATATATATATATATATATATATATATATATATATATATATATATATATATATATATATATATATATATAGGGAATATTAACCAGTATTAAGCAGAAAAATAAATGATGTTGATGGTTATGAAAGTTATGATATCAAATGACCCCTGACTTTAACCTCTGGCAATGAGGTCAAATAGTTGTGTGTTTGGATTGTTGTGTTGTGTGAGTTATGGCCGCACTAACACCGTCCAGGAAGTTTGGCAAGAAATTGGATCACCTGAAGAATAGCCCCCCCCCCACCAGTTTATTTCATCTGATGATTTAACACCCTAACGCTACCTGGAGGGGGTTAGGTTAGGTTAGGTTAGGTTAGGTTAGGTTAGGTTAGGTTGGGTTAAGTTAGTGTGGCCAATCTTCAGGTGAAATAAGTTGGGGGTTAATCTTCATAATATCCTAAATATTATATACAAATATTCACATAAATACAAAGGAGGTGAACGACAAACACACTCACGACACACTAAGTCTATCAAGTGTTAATTTTGTCTCAAGTACATAACTAGTTAAGGTAAAATCTCAGTGTTATTTTAATTTCATTTTTTAAGTTATTTTAGTATTATAACTTACAGTGAAGCAGTTAGTTACATATACCTCTAGTTACGAGAAATTCAACCACACGACCCATTGAGAATCTGTTTTTGGCCTTTAATTATAAAAGAATATGTAGAAAACGTTTAATTTTATCAGTAAACTTTTTTAATTATTATGAAAAAAAACCTTTGATGTTATTTTTAATTTGAGTCTGGATTAAGTGAGTCAGCTATATACGTCTGACGTCTACTGTTGAGGTAATTGTACACTATGCCAAGGGTAGTGGTGGTGGTGGTGATGTTATTAGCGATGGTGGTTGTGGTGTTGGTGGTATTGTTGTTGTTAGTGGTAGTGGTCGTGTTAGTGGTGGGGGGTGGTAGTAGTGGTGGTAATGGTGGTTGTCTCTGAGGTCAATGACACTTCCTGGTTCCCGCGCTACAGGGGGTGATTGGAGGGAGGGGAACGGAAGCTCCTCCTCCACCCCAAACGTTCACGAATCTCTTTCTCTGTCTCTCACTCCTCACTAATAGTCTCTTACTCTCCATTAACAGTCTCTCACTCATTCACAAATAATAAGGTAGAAATAAGAGAAAGATGAGGGAGCGAGGTGAGGAGACAGGGAAGGAAGGGTAAGAGAATGAGTAAAGTAAAGGAGGGTGAGAGAAGGAGGAAATAAGGGACGGATAATGAAGCGAGGAGAGGTAAGTAGGGAGGATGAGAAGAGGTAGGGAGAGAAGTAGGCAGGGTGAGGAGATGTAGGGAGAGCGAGGAGAGGTAGGGAGAGAAGTAGGCAGGGTGAGGAGATGTAGGGAGAGCGAGGAGAGGTAGGGAGAGAGAGGTAGGGAGGTTGATAGGAGGGAGGAAGGGAGTCTTGTATACACAGGGTAGGTGTAGCACCTCCTCTGGCCGGAACTAACATATAAACAATGGTCCTGTTTCTCCCTTGACCGGGTACCACTTCCCTCTCTCTCTCTCTCTCTCTCTCTCTCTCTCTCTCTCTCTCTCTCCCACAGACAGACACAGACTCGTTCCTACAGGTATAATAAACGTCATTGTAATCAACTACAAAAAAAATAGTTAGTTGGATTTGTGAGAAAGTTTGGGCGAGAAAGGCATGGGTAGTGGTGGGGGGTGAGGGGGGGGAGGGGAGGGAGGGAAGGTGAGGGAGGGGGTGAGGGAGGAGGGTGAGGGAGGGGTGAGGGGAGGAGGGGTGAGGGGAGGGGGAGGGTGAGGGTGGAGGGGTGAGGGGGAGGAGGGGAGGTGAGGAGGGTGAGGGGAGGGGTGAGGAGGGATGGGAGGTGGAGGGGAGGGGTGAGGGGGTGAGGGAGGGGGTGAGGGGGAGGGAGGGAGTGGGGTGCGGGAGGGAGGGGATTGTGTTATGTTGCAGTCGTGTTGCATAGTGTAGAGATATCAACAATGTGAGACGGATATATTAATTGTAGTCTGTCTGTCTTTGTTTTTTATCTTCTGTTTGTTTCTTCTTCTTCTTCTTCTTCTTCATCATCATCATCATCATCATCATCATCATCATCACCTCCATACCAGTCATTACTCACCACACTCAGCCCACAGTGTACTATATCCACACAGTCCCTAATGTACCACCATGCCTATAGATGAGACACAAGAGGTGGGAGACAGGTGAGAGACACAGGAGATGAGAGACACAAGAGAGAGAGAGAAACAGGAGATGAGAGACAGGTGAGAGACACAGAAGAGAGGCATAGGAGATCAAAGACAAAGGTTAAGAGACACAGGTGAGAGACACAAGAGATAAGAGACACAGGAGATGAGAGACACGGGCAGTAAGAGACATAAGAGATGAGACACAGCAGGATGCCAGGCTGGTGAGAGACAGTGTGGGGGGTTGGGTGTGGCTGCCTGGCGCCGCACCATCGATCTGACGCCACAGCCTCACCCTGCCTGGTCCATGCACTACACCCTGGTCCACCACACCCTGGTCCACCACACCCTGGTCCTCCACACCCTGGTCCACCACACCCTGGTCCACCATACCCTGGTCCTCCACACCCTGGTCCACCAATGATCCACCATACAGGTTCACCACCCTGGTCCACCATACCTGGTCCTCACACCACCTGGTCCTCCACACCCTGGTCCTCCACCCTGGTCCACCTGGTCCACACACCCTGGTCCACCACACCCTGGTCCACCCACACCCCTGGTCCACCGCACCCTGGTCCACCACACCCTGGTCCACACACCCTGGTCCTCCCACACACACCTGGTCCACCACACCCTGGTCCCACCACACCACCCTGGTCCACCACACCTGGTTCCCACACCCTGGTCCACACCCTGGTCCCACCCACCCTGGTCCACCACACCCCTGGTCACCACCACACCCTGGTCCACCACACCCTGGTCCACCCACCCTGGTTCACCACACCTGGTCCACCACACCCCTGGCCCTGGTCACCCACCCTGGTCCACCCACCCTGGTGCCTGGTCCTCCACACCCTGGGTCCACCACCTGGTCCACCACCCTGGTCACACCCCTCCCACACCCTGGTTCACCACACCCTGGTCCACCCACCCTGGTTCACCACACCCTGGTCACCACACCTGGTCCACCGCACCCTGGTTCACCACCCTGGTCCCCCATACCCTGGTCCCCATACCTGGTCCCCCACCCTGGTCCACCACACCCTGGTCCACCACACCCTGGTCACCACACCTGGTCCCCATACCCTGGTCCCCCATACCTGGTCCTCCACACCCTGGTCCACCCACACCTAGTCCACCACACCCCCTGGTCCCCACCCTGGTCCACCACACCCTGGTTCCACCACACCTGGTCCTCACTGGTCACCACACCCTGGTCCACCACACCCCTGGTCCCCCCTGGTCCCCCCTGGTCCACCACACCCTGGTCCCACACCTGGTTCACACACCTGGTACATACCTGGTCCACCCACACCTGGTCCACCCTGGTTCACCACACCCTGGTCACCACACACCCCTGGTCCACCACACCCTGGTTCACCACACCCTGGTTCACCACACCCTGGTCCTCCACACCTGGTCCACACACCTGGTCCACACCTGGTCCCACCACACCCTGGTCCACCGCACCCTGGTTCAC